TATCAAGTAGATTCAATCCAAGAAAGGATTTTCTTAAATTGAAGTAAGCTGTAAAAAAAAAAAAAAATGTAGAGATTTGAAATTGAGAGAAAGAGTCAGACAAATGAAAATGAAGGAAGAAGATTTTGAGAGGAGAGATGCAGCCATAGGGGACAGATACTCAGACATCATGTGAGGAGAGAGAAGATGGATGTGAAGAGGCAGAGATGAAACTGAGCGACAGAAAAGACAGCATGAGGAAACAATGTATATAAAGAGAGAGAGAAGTGAGGAGGATGAGAGGAGACAGTGAGAGGAAAGCAGCGGGGCCGAGTGATGTCTGGCCTGATAAACAAATGAAAGCTGTCTGAACTATCATCACCATCTCTCCGATATAGCTCGGGCTGTGTGTGAGTGTGTGTCTCCCTCTCTGTGTCTGCTCCCTCTATATGTTAATGGTCCACAGATTAATCCTCTTTTTTTTTTTTCGCCTCTGTGAAGTCAGAGAGGAAATTGCGTCTTCAACACAATTGCATAGCTGTCATGATATGAAAGAAATATATGGCAGGCACAGTTTCACTAAACTGAATTAAGTACGATGCTGTGAGGTTCTCATTGAGTAAGGGTTGAGAAACACGTGTGAGATTCAAAATATGAAACGGTAAAAGGGGGACAGATAGTTTTCATTAGCCAAATTCAGACTGCCATTTCAAGCAACAATATTTAACTCCCCTGGGATGTTTCACCATCAATGGGAAGTGTTCCCCCTCTGGACCGTCTTCTGAGGCGTTACAGAGGTGAGACAGTTTCAGCGGCGCCAGCGGGGGAGCCGCAGCGTCATATGACAGACAGTTTACATTAACCCCAATCAGGGGTTCTGTGGCCCCCTATTTTAGAGTTTAATTTCCCACTTTTATATGTTTTTGTTTAAATACAGAGTCTTCACTTTTCCTTTCTAGAAGCTCCAAAGAAAACACTTTATGCACCTTGCACACCACTTTTTTTTATTTTCATTTCACCTTCATTTAACCAGGAATACTTTGTTGAGATTAAAATGATCTTCGTGTCCTTACCAGCAGACAGGGGGTGTTAGCCACTGATAATAGAGTCAAGCTAAAGAGCCACTTTTTTCATCAGCTGTTGGTTGTAGAGACCAAAACAGAGCTAAAATGAATAATTGAGGTAACGCCCCACAACAGTCAACATGACTCTAAAGGAAGACTGAATTTATTCAATACAATTATTCACCAATATTCACCTTTTGTAAAGCCAATCCTGCTCAATGCTCAACTCTCTGATCATGTGGTACAGGGCAGTAAAAGATCCCTGCAAATCCTAGCCTTTCTTAACCTGAGTAATCCTTTCAAAGGATGTTTTTAACTCATATGAGAAATCCCATCTGCCATTATTGTGGATAACCTTGAATTTTTACCCTCCACAGTCAACATGTTCTGTATTTGGCCTGTGGCTGGTGCAGCTGTAATTACCTGATTGTTTATGTCAATTATCACTGAAATGTTCACAGACCAGAATATCCCATTTAATGCATGAAAACATTTACAAAGCAGAGCTGTGGCAGCCAGAAGCTTCTGTGTACTTGCCACAGTAGGAAATTTAGGATTTTTTTATCCGTGACATTTTGTGGCTAAAGTACGAGATAAGGGCCAGAAGATCCAGATTTGGTCCCAAGTATTGGGCACCAGATAGCCTAGTGGTTATGAGGTGCACCCCATGTACAGAGGCTATAGTCCTCGTTGGAAGCTGCTATGAGTTTGGATCTAAAGTAGGCCCATTGTCTTCCCAGCATTTTAAAAAAAAGCTTGTACATAACTTTCATCAATCTGTTGGGTCCCTTAACCTCAAAGAAAAACTGTTCCATGTAGACAGGATGTTAAATCTGAGTTTGTGCTTCAGTGGCCATCAATGTTGAAGGGGAGTTCTTCGTGAGCGGAGGAGGACTGAGCTCCAGGTTCCGCGTCAGTAGAATCACCTTCCACTGGGGGCGCTGCAATGCAACCTCAGAGGGGTCTGAACACAGCCTGAATGGGATGAAATATCCTCTAGAGGTACAGATACACAGTACATGTTTGTCTATCCTTCAAATCAATGATTCACCACCTAATCAAGCTAACCTACCTGTCACCTTTTCTTTTCAGATGCAGATCTACTCTTATGATCCAGATGACTTCCAGAGCCTGGATGATGCTATCAGGAAGGAGGGAGGGTCGCTGCCCTGGCTGTGCTCTTGAGGTGGGTCAACCTGTGGCTGTGTGCCTAAAGACAGGAAAAGGTCAAACAAAAGTGATTGAATTAGTGTGGATGGATCGTGGATTAGTGTGTAGTTGCTTGTTGATTAAATAAACAGAAGAGGTTTTTTTCTACAGGTCAGCCTGGATGACAACGAGAACATCACTCCTGTTGTAGAAGCCCTCAACACTGTCAGCAGGTTTGGTAGGTACTTCTAAATTTGACCTGTTGGTTATCATCCCACAATAAATATGAAAATCGAAATGTCCTTTCGAGAATAGATAAAGGTTTGAATTGAACATGGGCCCTTTATAAAGAAAAGTGTGTGATTTAGGAAACAAAATATCAACAAATAAAGTAAGTTTTTGACTTGCCAACGGGAAACCAACAGGTGTTGCAGTGATGAAAGCGGGCAAGAGAACTAGTTCAGATAGAAGTGATTGTACCCGACCTAAAAAGCCTCTGCATGTTTCTAATAAGCTCCACGAGCAGAAGACGTGGTAAAGTAGGATAAATATTGGCTCGACTCTAAGAGAGAAGGGGGGAAGACAGCTCTCTACAATGATTTAAATTCGGAACTGCAGTACCCTTTTTTAACGCTAGGTGTCAGAGTTACATATTGCTTTTTTTAATCTCCATTTGATGAAAATTAAAAAGTTGTCAACAGATCGAGTAGCTGACTTGAAGCTAGGTGAAGCTTGATAACATTTTAACAGATACGTGCAGGCTGAAGTCGATCATTCAAAAATACTACAAACAAAAATGCCCTAAGTTTAGCTTTTTTTTTTTCTCCAATATGATTAAATGTGAAAGGGTCAATAAATGGGTTCAAATAATTATGAATGTATACCACACTCTAAACATGTGTATTGTGACATTAGGTTTGCTGATTCGATTTTTTTTCTTACCAGGTAAAAGCGGTCGATGGAAGGTTTCGCCCTGAGGTCCTTGCTGCCTAATAACACCGATAAATATTACATCTACAACGGCTCCCTTACTGCACCTCCCTGCTCGGAAATAGTGGAGTGGGTCGTCTTTAAAAACACTGTGGCCATCTCTGAAACACAGGTCAGTGGGGTTTATCGCACACACACACACACACACACACACAACACACACACACACACACACACACACACACACACACACACACACACACACACACACACACACACACACACACACACTCATGGTAAATGGACTGCAGCTTGTATACCTCTTTTCTAGTCTTCTACTCAAAGCACTTTCACACACTGATGGTAGAGGCTGCTAGGTAACGTGTTCATCATTATTAACTCATCCCATTCATACACATGCACACGCGGCTGACAAAACAGGGAGCAACTTGGGGTTAAGTGTCCTCGCTCAGGGAAACATCGGACTTGTAGGTTCAGGAGCTTCCGGTTGAGAGATGACCTACGACTGAGCCACAGTCGCACTCATTTATGCTTCCTTTTCAGTTACTAATGCTCATTTCTGTCTGAATACATAGACTTAATAACATTAAGTCTTTAAATAGAGAAATAAACCTGTGTAATGTAACTTGCACAAACTCTTGCACATCATGTCATTGAGATAGTAGGCTCTTTTGAAATATAAACCTCTGTAGGGAGAATAAAAATGGCAGACCTGCGTAAAAGTTTTGTTCTAGACTGGGGGCTGAGTCCATGGGTGGAGATATCAGGGGACTGGAGGAGATTGTTGTACCAGAATCCCACTGTGACATCACAAGGAGAGCACATTTGAAACGGAGCATTTTTCTCTGTGTTGTAAGACTCCTGCAGACCACAAACAAAGGACTGGATGGGTTTATTTCACATTTTGTGGGTCAGTAGACACTCAGGTTACCCAATAGATGTTCAAAAACACTGTAAAAGGGGATTTTTCAGAATATGTGCCCTTTAAAACCTATGCAATGTTTGAAATTCTTAGTCAACGACACACACAGAAAAATGTGTGGTGTGCTTTGAATGAATGAAAATGAATGTTTTATTTGGTTATGTAAAGTCTGTGTTTGTCCTGAAAAACATCAATCTCAGTTTTCTCTCTGTTCAAAAAGATGACATTTTAAAAACAGTCAAACATCTTCAGTGAATTTAACAACAATTTTGCATGTGTGGTTGTTGCATTGTTTAAGGTCAGTTGTCTTTGACATCTGTGCACTACATTAAAAGAAAATGTCACATCAGAGTGATACAATGTGACAGCGTCAGCCCAAATGGGAACTTGCAGAATATGGGTTTTGTAGAGACATGAGTTTAGCCTGTAGTGCAGCACGCCACAAACTCACACTGTAATGTTACTGCAGCATAACTCCAGGCTGAAGACGTAGAAAGACCTCTGAGGAAAAACGCCAGCCCATGAAATCATGTGTGTGTAATAATCATCAATTATATAGCCGAATAATGGAGAGAGAATGAGGTCATGAGAGTGAATGTGTGTAGATCCCATGTGCATATTTGTGTGTGTTTGTGTGTCTGCGTTTGTCTGTGTTGCATGATTGAAACGGGGGTGGCAAGGCATGACATGGACACATTGTAGAGGACCAAAAATAGAGCAGCGTCATCTCCCTGCCCTCGCCTCGGCACAAACAGGAATCAGCACTGGGTTTTATTTTTTTGCAAATGTAGAGAAACGGAGAACTCCTTTTTTTTTTTTTCAGCTGCTCCTCACCTGCCCTCTCTCTCTTCTCTGTTTCTGTCCGTCTCTCTGCACAGCTCGAGGTGTTTTGTGAGGTGATGACGATGGAGCAGGCTGGATATGTGATGCTGACAGACTATCTGCAGAACAACTTCAGGGAGCAGCAGCAGCAGTTTATGGGTCAGGTGTTCGCCTCATACACCGGCGTGGAGGAAGTGCAAACACCCAGTACGTCATCCGTCACCCTAAAACAAACTTTGCTGCTCGCTTGCTTTGTTTGATTATTCCACTTGCATATCAAAATGTCTTAACCACAGTATTCCTCTAGTTTAACAGAACACAGTAAACCTAACGTTTTTGAGTTATTTCTGAGACCAGCCTGGAAAAATGTGATTTGAGTTTCACCATTTAAAACAAAGCTTCCTCCCTTCCACTCTAACTGCACGAGGCTTTTAGCACTGGTGTATGAGAATTAGACAATTTATGCAGTGACGCAGATTTGCATAGAGTCGTGCAAATTTTTATACAAACGACGGCACAAATATACACAAACAGCTGCAGCGCATTTACTGATGCATTTAACCCTTTGTGTGTGTTTTGTGAATCAGACATTTTGACCCGTTTGCACAGGTTTAGCAGGCTAAAAAGCTGCACAATTATTTTGCTCTAAGAGCTGAAAATACGCACAAAGCCTCAATTCAACTAAGGAGGGACGCTGTATTAGCTGTCTGTTTATAGGTGACTTTTGCAACACTTCTGCTGGCAAGAGCCACACATGTGTAACGTGATCCACATAGGTCTATGGGGTAGGGTTAATTTGCCCTGAGCTCAGGCTCACAGGTCTACCATTCCTTACTGTCGGCCCTAACTCTGGTAACTTTTTGTCTTGAATTGTAGACTCAATTTAATCAAACCCCAAAAGGTGTATTTATGTTCTAGTATATCGCCTATTTTAATCTGTGATTATGACCTAATGATGGAGAAACGATTGATTGAAGTGATGCCGCTAGCCTCTTCGCTCGTCACAGTGAGTTACACTGGTCCTCTCAGCAACAGATTCTCATTCGACTTTAAAGACTTGGACCTAAAATCTACACTCCATCATAACTAAATATTTTCACTTATCTAATTTCATTAATTTTTTGTGGGAGACTGGTGGAGAAAATTGAATTCCCTTCACAGGGATCAATATAAATACTGCATAATTTATCTTATTTTCATCCTTGATGAAAAATCTTTTCCATCCTCTGCTTCCTCTGTAGCTGAAATTCTGTCCTCTTAGGTCAGCCCAGCCACGATCATCAAAAGATATAATCCGCAACGCTCTTTCCATCTTCATAAAGTCGACCCTCAAGTCTTTGGGGTTGCTAGGGAGCTCGACTTTGTACTTCAGCGCCCCTGCTCCTCTCTGCGCAGGCAATTTATTTTGCAGCTCTTTTTGAAATTGAAATAAAGTATTCAGAAATTCACAAAAGAGTCCTTTTGCCTGTAAGAAATTCATGCAGCCGTACACACTCATGCATACACCTCCTACTCATTGCCACTCTCACCTGCTTATCTACGATTTTAAAATGTATTCCTGTTCTCTTCCATTTTCAATTCAGTCGATTAACATCAGGTTGCCTTCAGCACACAAAACTCAATGAGTGATGATGTACTTTTCCTGTGTTGTTGGTGCATAGACGTTTAGTTATGAATGCTGCTGCTATCATGTTTTTTTTTTTTAATCTTCTTCTTCCAGGCTTTTTAGAAAATCTCTTAAACACAATATTTTCTTTTAACTATCTGTCCCTCTTATTTTCATCTCCAGCCTGCAGCTCAGAACCAGAGAATGTCCAGGCCGATGCCCAGAATGACACCACCATTGTGGTTACGTGGGAGCGCCCTCGCTTTGTTTACGACACGACCATCGACTGGTACACTGTCACCTACCAGAGGCTGCAGGGCAGAGAGCAGAACAGGCAGGAGTACAGGACAGACGGGGATCAGGACGTGGTATGAAAACATGTCTGAACACAAACACAGAGAATTATCACTTACAGTATGTGCTCTCACCTTTGACTGCATGTCATTTCCACTCTTTGTTTTGCAACATAATCTACAGTCCATGCAGGTACACTTGACTTAAAAATAGATAATAGCTAGAAATCACCTCATAAGTGGTTCCCCGTTTCTCCTGCAGCAAATATTAGAGCATTGTTTGTTAGAATGTTATCAACCACCCGAGCTCTCTTTTTCTCTCTGTGTTCTATCACTGTCACTTTGCCACCGTTGTTGGGATACAGATTGATCAAAGTGATTGATTCATTGGTTGTTAAGATCAATCTTGGCCTCTTAACGGGCCATTGAGCATCCCTTAATGTGACCCACAATAACGAAGGTTACGTATGTAACTCCGGTTCTATGAATCCTGGATGACACCGCCTCTGGCGAGCAGGAAGGAGGAAATAGAGCTGTGTGTGTCTTCATGTGGTCTGTTGATCTGTGTTAGTCTTTAGCTGTTTTCACATATGCACTCCTGAATATATCTAGATCATTTCAAGAGGACTGCTCCTGAAACGATCCTGAGCTGGGTGTTTACTTATGGACCTCACAGCAGGAGACCATCCCTGTCAGACAGGAGGAGTGGTGGGGGGGGGGGGGGGGGGTCACCTAAAGCAAGACTTGATGTAAAAAGAACAACATAGTAATGGTAGATGAAGCAACAGAGTCGGATATATGGCTATATTTTCGTGCGTAATAATTCTGCAGCAGGGCGTGGATACCTGTTACTGACTTTATTATCCTCTTGTCATTATATGGTCACTTTTACTTAAAATAAAGCAAGATAGCACAAGCCTTCAAAACAGTAGTCTGAAAAGCCTTCCATGTAGGTGACATCAAGGTGGTTAAATCCTATTCTAACCTTCAGTCTTTGATTCAAAACGACTGATATAAACTCTCCTCTGTGACTCCCTTCAGGGTGCCATCATCCCCAGCCTGCTGGCCAACAGCAGCTATGTGGTTCAGGTCGTTGCTATTTGCACCAATGGACTCAAAGGGCGATGGAGCGACCAGATCATAGTGGACATGCCGTTAGAAGACCCTGGTACCAACACATGAACACACAAAAAGTGAAAAAGCATGTATTCAAAGTGCTAAATTTTTAATAAGGAGCTTTTCTTGTCTTACTGTAGAAAGTGAGTCCGATCCCGACGCTGTCACAAAAGACTTTGGAGGCAACAACAAGGAGGTAGGAGAGTCTCTGCTGTTTCACCTGACTCCCCTCACCACTCTTCATTATTTCACTGAGCTTATTCAGCATGTATTCAGTCATATCAGTGAGCATAATTAGTATGCAAATGATCTGTAATTATATCAGTAAAGGCTTGTCCTAATGTGTTTTGAGAGCAGAACACAAGGTTAGAAGGGAGCTTCCAGCATGTTTAGAAGAGATTAAAGAAGATTGTAATGCTGGCATGTTTCCCTCCTTGAGAGAACAAGTACAGCCTGTGCTCACACTGCATTAATGGAGGTTGCTCAATGTTTTATTATCACTTAATTTGAATATTTTAGAGCTAAACAAGATGCAGCACCACTGTGTCTTTGGTTGCGCTGCAAGAAGTGAAACCTTAAATCAAGAATTTACATGCATTTCTTTTACTAAATATATCATCTGTCCAGACAACTCTTTAGTTACAGAGTGTCTCTTGTTTCAAGCTTTTTCATCCTTTACTATTTTAAAGAGGTGCTAGAACTGAGATATATTACTGGTTCTAAGTGAACTGGTTCATTGTTTCATGTAAGTCCATCACCACAGGTCATGAAAGTAAACAAGATGTGCACACCAAAAATGCTCCCGTTTGAAGGATTTATTGATCACTGACGTTTCAAGCCGACGTGTTCGTCCTCAGACTTGAAAAAGAGAGTAATTTTTTCATATTGTAAATCTTTTTTCTTGTTTTTTTTAGAGCTGACTTTTTTCCAGTGAGGATGTGTATTGCATATTTATCATCAAAGGAATTGTGGCAATAACATAACAATCCTTGCATTTTTTTGTTAATTCTTTAAAGCCTGTCTCCTTCTAATCTTAAACAGTGTATAAGCAAACACATTATGACAAACCTCCACACAGTAAAGCTTCATCCTTTGTGCTAGGTCTCGTCTAAAGGCAAATGGGAGAAGCCTGACAGCCAGAACCGCTTAAATTTATCTCCAGACGACAACAGCCCCGTGGAGGAAATCCCCCTTGAGCAGACCAAAGTTTACCAGAACCAGCCCGGTGACAAAACCCAGGCGAACCTCCCGGTCCCCGTTGGCTCTCGTACGACCCCAAAGTTCCCGTCTGAGTCCGCCGTCCTGCAGAAAACTCGACCGAAACAGAATGTGAAAAAGAAAACGGGCCCAAAGAAGAGCAAACCTGAGGATGTGGATCAGAACTGGATCGATGAGGACCAAATGATGACGACACAGCGGCCGTTCACTAACTCAGGTTTTGATGGTAACGGTGCAATATGGGTAACTGAGGTCACTGAGCAGCCGGGCTTCCTGTTTCCAGTGGCACAGTCCATCACACCGCCGACAATCCGCCGACAAATGACAGAAGAGGCCTCGCTGTCAGAGCCGCAGAATCAGGTAGTTCACTCAGCTCATTCTCCATTTCTTAATGCATATATTTCCTCCTCCTTAAACCCAATTTAACCAACATAACACAACGTCTACCTCTTCACTTGTTGCCAACAGATCAGGATCCACCAGAACAAGGCGGTGAGAGCGGCCTCCCTTCTCCCCAGTCGGACCTCCACCAATCCTGTTGAGGACATCGAGGTCACAGACGTCTTCTATGAAGACGCAGACATCAACGCTCCTCCAGAAACCGCAACCTCTCCAGGTCAGACATGATTGGAAGAGAGCTCTCTCTTTTTTTTTCTTTGCACTCTTGTTTATCAGAAAACACCTCGGGTTGCGGACTACCACTGCAGCTCTTCATGCAGTGCCAGGGAGGAATTTAAGCTCATAAATGTTTAAAATAGGAGCAGAAGACACTGCCACAGCTGCCTACTGTGACTCCTCAAAATGGATCTTAAATGCTTGTTCACTTTGGATGTTTGCTAATTGTAACTGTATTTCATCTGATTTATTTGATTCATGTTAATCAGTAATTTAAGACATTTTTATTAATACATCCAAATCTTAAAAATACAAAAATTATATATTTTCT